TCACAAAACGGTATATATTCAAATACTAAAACAGTTGTTTTGATTGAACTGAAATGCTTTCGTTTTGCACCTGAATCAGAAGTTGTACTTGCATATTTACCTTGCCGGCAGTTTGCTTTGTTATTGTTGTAATTCTATTGTATCAAATACTAAATATATTTTATGTACACACAATATAGGCGTTCGATGACGCGATAGCCGAGCTGGACAACACTCAACGAGGACTCATACAAAGACTCAACACTCATCATGCAATTGTTGAGGGATAACCTGACTCTTTGGACCTCCGATACCCAGGGTGATGGCGATGAGCCACAGGAGGGCGGTGACAACTAACCAAACAACTAAAATGTTTCCTTTTTGACTATGCAAATATTATTCAGTAATCCAAACAAACAAAAACAAACAAAACAAAAGAAATATAAAAACAAATCTTTGAAGTCGAAAGCAGCAGAGCAGTAATGTAATAATAAAAGCAACATCAAAATCAACATCAGCATCGACACAAATCCAAACAAACAAACAAACAACAGACAACACACCACAAAAAAATACAAAACAACAAAACACTACAACATTAACAATTCAGCAGAATAATGATTCAGCTTGTGGCTGTGTGATGATAGTTTAGAGGCTGAGATGAGTTTAGGTGAGAAGACTATTGTCATGCAACTGATTGAAGAAAAAGAAATTGAATCTGGTTTATAGACAGTTTATATATTGTATACAGGCGAACAAGTGATGTTCGACGAATCAAATCAATAAATGTAAAGTCGATTGAAAAGTCTATGAGAAGAAATGTAATATGAAACCAAATGTCTTAATTTGCTTCACATGCCGTTCAAAGTTGTCTTTGTTAGTAAAATGCTCTTGCAAATATTCACAAATGGAACTATCTGAGTCAAAACTTATAAATACAAAATATAAATATATATATATAAATATATAAAAATGAAACAACTATCAGCTATCCAGAACAAGAACAAGACCAGGAAACAGGAACAGTGTATTGTATGGCAAAGATGTGAATTTTGTTTTGTGTAGTTAATTACTATTCCGCTGTTTTGGCCAACTGCGTACACTATACATATGCCTAAAAGTAATATTATTTATTTTAATTATGTTTTAATAAATAATTACCATACTGTTTTATATTAACATACAAACAGCAAACAACAAACAAACAGTACACAAGACACAGTCAACAACAAATTTATTGTCTTTTATTTTTGGTTAATGCGCTGCGCCGCTTTCCTTAATAAAAAAAAACAATAATAAAGAAAGGCTAATTGGTTATACAATATAAATAATGTAATTACAATAATGCCATTATTTTTCGTCGTCAAAGAAGAAGCCCATGCGAACCAAAAGAAACAAATTATGTATTAATTTGTAATTATCTTTTTTTTCTAAAATACAACAAATAAAACATAAACCTAAACTTTTATTTTCAACCAATTTATGTTCTCTTGGATTTTGTTCTTTACGTTCTCTGTCTCCCACACACACACACACAGTGTTGCATTTATAATGCAGCTATCAATAAAACAAAAGAAGAGTAAACTGTGTGCTAAATTGTTGTCAAATTAAATAAATGGTTATTTAGTTGTGCAGTCAAGAAAGTTGTGATTAACATACACAGATATAGATATTCACTCTAAATCAGTGCAAATAACTTGTTCCGTTGCGCGGATAGCTTAGAAGGCATGAGTTCTATTGTGCCTGTTTGAAGAATTCTTTTTTTTCTTTCTCCTCGTATGTAAATCAATCGGTTAATCGGATTTGAAGATTAAATGAACCAGTGATTCGCCATCCTGGAACAAGTAATCAAAATTAATCGTACGATCGATGCGATAACTATTTATAACGTACTCACATATACATATATACTTACTATATGCAATTATGCAAAGCAAAAGCAACAGCAATAACATTATCAATGTGCAATTGTTATAACTAAATGTCTCAGTGTTTACTTTTTATATTTTTATTATCATCTATGTGTTTAAATGTAAACCCCCAGTCCAAGAACAAAATGAGAAAAATTAAAAAAAAAAACAGGTGTGTGAAGCAAGTATATAACAAAAGAAAAACTAAATCGAAATTGAAAGCTAATTTTATTTTTCGAACGATGCCAATTGTTGCTAAACTCAACTAATTCAACATTCTGCTTTATTGTTGATATTAAGTTTGGTTTATCAGGGCATTTAATTGCAAAACAACAGGAAATTGATAACTAATCAAAATACAAAATACAAATAAAACAGAAAATACTTATTTTAAAAGCTGAGTAGATGCAATTTTAATCCAAGATGGCGACAACAACAGCAACAAGAACAAACGCCAGTCGCCAGGAAATTAAAATTATCTATGCAGATGTGTATAAAAACTGTATAACTGTATATTTTCGCAATTGAATTTACGCTTACAATATACATAATAAAATCGAGTCGAATAACCAAAATGGAAACTGCAAATACATAATACACATACATTAAAAGAAAAACAGAACAAAAAACAAACATACAAAATGTGTTGAACAACAACAACATTGAGCACACATTAATTGTATGTGTGTGTGGAGGCAAAGATTGATGTGAAAATTTAAGTTTATTGAAATTACAGTTTCTTAATTACCAAAAAAAAAAAAAACAAAAAAATAAAAATACAAAAAAAACAAGTCATTGTGTAAAAGAATTTTTGAGGGGTATTAAGGTATTGATAACTGACTGTTTTTACATTGAAAAGATATTGAACATATTAAGATAAAGCTTTCTTTGGTAGGCTAGAAGTACTATTTGCAGTAACGGTGGACAGTTAGCATACAAGATGCTTAGCCTGGACCATGTGAAATGGTATTAAAGAACAGAAAGAGAAAGAAATATTAAGCAAAAAGAGCTAGCTATATTAATGCTATCTAACATAACAGAGCCATTCTAGTTTCAGATTCAAATTGATCATAAGAAAGATTAAAATAACTATTTCTCAAGCCAAATGATTTTTGAAGCTAAAATTTTGAGTTGCGAGTTTAAATGAAAATGGAAATTTGTACTCTAACTGGTTTGTAAACTTGTTTGTAAGTATGATAAGATAAGTTTTAGCAATCTATGCATTATCTGCATTCAATTAGTTTTATAGACTGGTTCACTTAGACAATCTATTCATGCCAGCACAACTTTCGGATCATGAAATGAAAACGAAATTTTTATTGATTCCTAAAAAAGTATGCCTTATATTTTCAGACCTGTAACGAAAATTCTTGTGACTTTTTTAGGAATGCATAAATGTAAATTTCAAGTATTGACAAATCGCATAGCTTGGTAAGTGCAGCAATTATATTTCCAACGAAAAAAATATCTCACATGTCGTCAGCAGGCACATTGACAATGGGATTCCCTTGGTGAATTTTCTACCCGCATGTCGATTTTCCAGCAGAGGCAGAATAGCTGCCGATAGTTCCCCGGAGCTCAAGTGGATCCTTTTCAGTCGTCGCACCGATATTGACAAATTGCAAGGCTTCAAAAACAAAATGGGCAACTGTGTAAATCTGGGTATGAAGTATGATTACCTAAAGATCCTAATGAAGGACAATATCAATTTGTATTATCGCTACCTGTGCGACAATACAGCTGAGGTGTTGACTATTATGTATGCAGCCGATAGCGTGCGTGATGATTTCTGTGATATGAGCTTAGTTTCTATCAAAACGTAAGCAATATTATCTTTCATATATCCATTTATAGATATTGATTCCTAATTTTGTATGGCTAAAGCCCAAATATACAGAGACTTATGCACATCACTAGAAGTTTGGGTTTCGATCGTACTGCAAATGATATACGACAATATATGGATGCCGAAAAAAAGAGAAATTTTCGAACAGACATTGGATTCGCTTTAAAGGTGAAGGAAACAACTCAGAAAAAGAAAGGGAAGAAGGACAAGGAGACGGATCGGGAAATGAAGAAAAAGACGGATCAGCTATTTGAAATGAAGGAGGCGGATCGGGTGAGGGTGAGGGTGAGGAACGACAAGGAGATGGATCGAATGTGGGAAAGAAAAAAGGAGAAGGAGGTGGCTCTGGAGAGGGATGGGAAGACGGACAAGGACATTAATTGGGTGTCGGAAGTGAAGAAGGAGACGGGTCGGGTGAAGGAAAGGATTAAGGAGAAGGAGACGGATCAGGTGAAGGAAATAATTAAGGAGATGGTGACGATTGGGGAGACGAATGTAGAGACGAATAAGAAGCCGTTGCTGCTGAACATGAAGATGATAAAGAGAGCTAAATTCAAAGCGCCACTGATAAAATATGTACTTTATCTGAAGAAACTGAAGCACAAGGCGACGTCATCCGATGCCAACTGAACGCCTCATCGCAATTACAAATCTAAATTAAGGATTTCGCCTTTCTCTGCGATTTTCATGCCATCCACTCCTCTGTGGGCAAATGCTGTGATGCGACACCTTCAACATACGATAAGTATATATGTAGGTACGACAGACAAACACCCAACGGGAATGCTGGAAATATCGCGTCTGGATTATCTTTCTAGCGAAAGGAGAATCGCTTTGTTAAAGAAAATATTTTAATTTGTAATTTTTTTTTAAGCTAATTGAAGTCGATAGACCAACTCGGTCTTAATCGGCTCTGATTTCAACGAGCTGCTTTATATTATTTTTTCCTAAAATCTAAATTATGTGGTTAGGAATTAGCCGCTTGTTGAATTTTCAAATTAATCAAATAAATCAAATTAAAACAAATAACATATATATCATTAAATCAGAATTTCATATAGTTTTAAAATATCAGTTGAAATTAATCCTTGTAAGTGTAACCGAGTAAGCTAGTCTTTAAATTGATTCGACAGTTGTCGTATAATTTAAATTATTATTTGTCTCAAACGTAGTCAAAATTGAGTATGTATTTTATGTATTTCTACCTTTAGTAACTGATATGCATGCATTAAAATTTCGAGTATTTTCAAAATTATCAACCGGTATGTACGAGCTAATGCATAATGGTCAAAATTGTAAGCAATCGCCCATAGCCTAATGGAAACAGAGCAGGTATTGCCTACGAGCCAACACTGTCCCAGCAAATTGCACATTTCCGAGCCGTTCCACTCCGAATTACAATTAAAGAGTGCTCAAGTTGTTGAAGTGAGTTCAATGTGGAATTTCCAATATAAATATTTTCCTAATAAGTGCTTTGCAGCATAAAAAGCATCTGTGTCGTGGTCAAGCTGTCTGTTCTGATAAATTAGCATGTTTTAAATTGGTAATGCAAATGGAACACTGTGAAGATCCATCGAAAAAGTTGTATTTCTACGTAAAACAGAATATGAATGAAATATTGACTCGAGGCTTCATACTGAATTCAATATTTTTTAATAAGTAAGTCCGATTGCAAGATACAGGTGGTCAGCTGCATTTAATCCGTTTCAAGTCTTATGGTGGAAGCTTATGTGTGGAGGAATCAACAACTGGGTGGACCCAAGCTAAAACACCCAGCAGTAAAAAAAGGCGGTGTGCGTTTTATGGGCTACGATGATAATGAATCTGTACTGTTTGACGAAAGAGGTTATGGTAAACCAGCAGGTGTAAAGCTTGCTAACTATCCAAAATTTAAGCGTAAATATGTGAGTAATAGAATCTTAATTAAATGCAAACGCGTAACGTTTAAATAGCTAACGGCTCTACACCTCACGTAGGTGTGGTGAAAAGCTACTGAATTCGCCATACAGAAGCTCGCTGGTGTGATAGAGCTTTTGTCTGACCATGTACGCACAGCTGTTGCTCAGCTGTCAACATGACACTCGCTGTGTATGTGTGGGGTAAACAAAATAAGTCCAATAGGGTAATCGCCCATTTTCGCCCACAATAGTGACAAATTGATAGCAGAATCTTGGCCGCATTACCGTTACTGTTTGTTGCATTAATGAAACATACTATCAAAAATCGCGCAGAGTGTAGATAATCAAAATACATTACGCTGTAGCGCTATAAAAACGCCAGACAACCAGTTCATTGCATCAGTCTGCCGTGTAGTTGCGCTTAACGCAAAGCGTTTGCTGCGTTTAAAGGTCACCTTGAAACGTCAAAACCGAAACTTCTGCGCTCGACCGCCGCTCTCGCGCCCAGTTTGTGAAAATCGTCTCGCAGGCACATAGCCACGGCATCTGCGGGCAGCATAAGATTTGCGCAGTTCAATTGGACAACTCGGCTTCCTCAAAGCTCCTCCAGTTTCGCTGTGAATCATTCACAAATATTCGCCGTTGGGTGCATCCAACTTAAACTTCGATACGTGCGTCCGTGTCAGTATCACTCTCACTCTCACTCTCTCACCCTGCGTGTGTGTGTGTGTGCGTTGCCGTTGTTTTTTGAATCGATTAACTTGTTTTAACTTTTGAATAAAAGAAGTGCTTAGCCAAATATGAATAGTGAGACTAATCAACGTTTCCTGGCACGCGGCTCTCAGCGCGACAAGGGCTTGGCCGTCTTCACCAGCGGTGGCGACTCCAGGGCATGAATGCGGCTGTAAGGGCTTGTGTGCGTATGGCCATCTACGTGGGATGCAAGGTGAGTTTTGACCTCTGCCAAGTGCTTTTGCATTGGTATATATAATTTGGAAACAGACGCACACACACACACCACACACACACACATATATTGTTCACAAAAATGTTCTTATCGGTTACCGGAACAAGTTCAGCCATTGAACTTATGGTCTAGAGAGTCTGCTATGCATATATATGTATATATATGTAGCAAATTGATGTATATTTAGCTGAACTTGCAATTAAATCATAAAGATGATAGAAATAAAACAAATTAGCTTGTTCTGCAGGTGGTGTCAATTGCCGTTAGATAACCCAAGGGGGAAAACAAAAGCATATTCAAATAAAAGCGCCTCACACTACATTCATAGCACCAATACATAGACGATACCAACACACCAACACACAGGCAAAATCGTGTTTGTGTGCGTTTGACATTGAGTTTATTTTCGGGCAACTTACAGACGATCACGCAGATATATCTGAGAAAATTCGGTTATTGTTTGAAAAGTGAATTACTATTTGCTTATTGGTTTTATTGATCGACTGTGTGAATTTGCTGATTGGGGCGAATATGGCAAATTGTGATCACACTCTGTGAGGGCAAAAGAGTTGAAATTTCAAATAATTGCAATTGAAATAAATTATTCGAAATTCAACGATGATGATAGTGATGATGATGATGATTTTTGCAATGAATAAAATGTCGCAAGGCTGATGTTTCTTTTTTTTGTGTTTCGTTCAAAGTCACTTTCATTTTCATTTATTCACTTTTGATTTTTATGCGCGATTATTTGGCTTGAGGTGCTTAGAAATTATGACTATATCTAGGTACATTATATAAAACCCAAGTCAAGCAGCAATTTTCTTTTAATTAAAAGCTGAAGCAAATTGAATCGATAGTAGATAATCTCTTATTCTTTGTTCACATGATGGCATCATATTCTTCACTAATCTCGATTAAATCATTCACCTATTTTAAACAGCTTTATCATGTATTAATCCTGATAAGTTCTAAAGTGCATACAATATGAAACTATTTTATGTATTTGGAAAAGATGCCATGCTTAGTTTAACTCTTTTGATTAATAAAACGGATGTTGATAAAAAAAAATTTAAAAATGACTAGGTTTTCCTTATTTCATTACGAAAATATATTAAAAATATATAATTTTTAATTTAATTTATTAAAAAAAAGCTATAAAAAATATTAAACACTTAACATTATTTTAGACCTTTAAAATATATCAATTATAAATTAATAAAAAAAAACTTAAGATTATTTTAAATATACAAATATATTGTGTATTATATATTTAATTAAATTATTAATAAAAAAAGATATATAGATTTTATTATTCTTTTCGATTTAAAATTTAAATTTGTTTTAAATATGTATTTTAATTTATAATTTGTGTATTTAATTTGTATACTATAATTATTTTTTTGTGATATATAAATATTTTCTTAATTTAAAATATATAAAGGTTAAATTACATTAAAATTTACAAATATTTATGTTTTATAAATATTTATAAATATATTAAGAGTATACAATATTCGATTTTAACATAATTTTAATGTATGCTGAAAACTCCACTATCCAGTTTCAGGCAGAATTATGCAAGAAAAATTACAATTTTGAAACAGTTTTGACCGAACAAAGTCACATGAAACTTGAAATGTCGTTATTGATATTTTGTTTCAGAAGTATTATATATTTATTAGGTATATTAATTTATTGTTGTTCTTTGTATTTCAATAATCCTTGGCGTTAGGCGTACTTCATTCGTGAAGGCTATCAGGGCATGGTGGATGGCGGCGATTGCATTCAGGAAGCGACTTGGGCATCGGTATCGTCGATCATACACCGTGGCGGCACCATTATTGGCTCAGCCCGTTGCCAGGATTTCCGTGAGCGTGCTGGACGCCTGAAGGCTGCCAATAACTTGGTGCAACGTGGCATTACCAACCTGGTGGTGATTGGCGGTGATGGCTCGCTCACTGGCGCCAATTTGTTCCGTCAGGAGTGGTCCAGCCTGCTGGATGAGCTGGAGAAGAATAACACCATAACCAGCGAGCAGAAGAACAAGTACAACGTTCTGCACATTGTTGGATTGGTAAGTCACAGGAACTCAATCATCTAGCTGCCTAGCACTCTCTCCACTCACGCCCTCTTTACCTGGCCAGGTGGGCTCGATTGATAACGACTTCTGTGGCACGGACATGACCATTGGCACGGACACGGCGTTGCATCGCATCATTGAGGCAATCGATGCCATTGCCAGCACTGCCTACTCACATCAGCGCACCTTCATCATGGAGGTCATGGGTCGTCATTGTGGGTAAGCTATTTGTTATCGGTTTACCGTTATTGTCATAGCTAGGCTGCCTGTGATGCGTAACTACTGACATACAAATTGTTAGCTCCGCCAAATATTTGACATCAAATGCTAAATGCCTTCAATACTTATAGTTATTTGCCAGTTGTAGCTGGAGTTATATCCGAGGCAGACTATGTCTTTCTCCCCGAGTACCCGCCCCCACAAGATTGGCCCGACAGACTGACCCTCAAGCTGGACCAGGCAAGCAATCAGCTCGCGATCGTTGAATGTCTCCACATATATCCCTATATATATCTCCCTCTCTGACCCAAATCGATCTGTGTTCAAGCATTCAATGTTTACGCACCATAAATGTAAATGTGAAAACAACAAATCAAGACACAGGCAACTGATGAATTCATTTATATATATAAGTTGATATTACAGTAGGTCTACATATAGTTGTAGTAGTCGAAAGAGATGTTGTCAAGTCTGATATCTCAGCAAGGAATATCTTTAGCTCTTTGACATTTCCTTATGTGCTCTCAGATCGCGCCCCTTCACCTTTTGTTGACCTTTTTCCCATTTGTATATGCTATATAGTGTAGTATATAGTATATATTGTATATATGTATGTATTTATGTATAACCAAATAATACAACACATATATTTTTACAGTTACTTAGCGCTCGTTGGTGGCCTGGCCTGCGAGGCCGATTTCATATTTATACCAGAAATGCCGCCGAAAGTCGATTGGCCAGATAGGCTTTGCGATCTATTGGCCCAGGCAAGAAGTGAACCTATATATATTTTATTAAAAACAAAAACAAAAACAAAAAAAAAAACAAAAAACAAAAGACAAACGCAATATTTTTCACAGTGTGTTTGCTCTCTCTCTCTCTCTCTATCTCTTTATCTCGCGAATCATCTGCTTTTCGTGTTGCAAGACACAACAGCAGCAAAACATTGCATTTTACACACACGCGACAACCCAAACACCCACCAACCAACACACACACAGACACAGACACACACACATTGCTAGCAGGCATTAGTCAGATATATATATACATATAGAAAAACATATCATGCATCAGTTTTGAGTTTTGAGTTTTGTATATATTTTTGCTTATCTGAAATGAGTTTCAATTATTTTATATTCGACGACGATTGCCAAAACTGGATGTATGATAAGCCCTAGCTACCACCTACCTTACGTCTTATCTTAAGCATATTGTAATTAATCAAATATCAATTAACAATTCACTCACCTGTACAACGTGTCTTCTCCTCGGCGTGTTTGATTTACTCTCGTTTTTAGCTATTTGGCAATTTCAGCCGCTATTGCCACAGAAGCTGATTTTATGTTCATACCCGAAGAGCCCGTACCAGTTAACTGGCAGGATGCTCTGTGCACAAAGCTAGCTCAGGTCAGCGAACTCTATAAAGGTTTTCCCTTTTCATTCCATTCTTTAATACTGTGCGATGGGTTTTTTGCGTTTACTACTAAATTATTCAAATTGTAAATATAGATATTTAAAAAAAGAAAACTTTAATTTCAAACTCTTTTTAACATTTCTAAAAGATGTGCAAAGAGCAGCAGCTTTTTGTCCAAAACTGGTTCTAGAAAATACTAACTGATTGGCTATTGAATTGGTTTTTATTGGGTTAAGTGTGCAGCCACACACACACACTCACACACACACACACAACTACTTTTTGCTGGGCAATTTAATTGGCTTTTATTACGTCTTCGTTTTTAGTTTATTTTGTTGTACCTTAGCTTAATTAGTAAATATCTATATAATTTGCTTATTTTGTATTCTTCTTATATTCAGTTGCTGTTTTCTTCTCACACTCATCGTTTAAGCTATACAAAGAAAAACACACACACACACACACATCCATACATACTCTCTGTCTTTCTCACCTGTATTTATTCATAGTTACATCTGGTTGATAACCTCATATTTGTCGTCTTTTTTACCTATTTACACATAAGACATATTTACATATATATATATTTTATATATATATATATATATATATATATACATATATATCATCATCACTCAGTAAATATCTTCTATAATTAATTTTGTAGCACTTTGTATATTTTGAAGTTATTTATTGCTTCTATGTATCCACACAAGTTACTAACCAAATCGTTGTTTGAGACTCGCGTAGAGAGGTGGTCCGTCTAACGGTTATCGCTTTCATTGTCAAACAGGAGCGTTCCGCTGGTCAGCGCCTGAACATTGTGATTGTGGCCGAGGGCGCATGCGATCGCGAGGGCAATCCCATTTCCGCTGAAGATGTGCGCAAGGTGATCGATGCGCGTCTCAAGCACGATGCTCGCATCACTGTGCTGGGCCACGTG